CTAAATGCACGGTGCCCCATGAGACTCATTCCTAAATGCACGGTGCCCCATGAGACTCTTGATAATTTAAGTTCACTATGAAAAAGACATGAAAGTTTACACAGAAAAAGCTTGCAAAACCCAGTGTTTAGATAGGATAGAACAAGAATACAGTAAGAGGGGACAAGGTCATGTTTACCTATAAAGTTAGAGGGAATAATAAAAGTACGTTACAAGGTTTCAGTTTTTCCTCTTTCAACAAAGTCCTAAACTAATGTTTTTAACTCTTCTTTCACTTGGGAACAAATCTCGAAAATCTGATGCCACTGCTAAGATTTACTATACCAGTAAATATTTTATTGGTGAAATCTACTGCAGAGCACATAAAAGTCCTTTCTTCTGAGGCTCTTAGGAGCTCCTCACTGTCATTCCCACGAAATATCATTTCCCTCAATATGCGACTGCAGGCAGACAGTGAGTTTTGGGTTATTGCTGCCAACCCCTTGCTGTGATCAGGAATCTTGTACAGGACCAGGTAGCACAAGTAGTTTTCTGAGGAACTGTTGTGTCTCCAGATATATCCGTGCTCTACAGGGCTTTTCTCCATTTCCCCTCAGTCAGTCAGAAGAGCCAAAAGATAGAGTGTTAAGTATTTCATAAGCTAAATGACACCAGCCTGGAGAGCAGTCCATGCATAAAAACTGTGGGTTGCATTTTCATCCTTCCTGTAAATCTGTACTGCTTAGGCCTCTTTAATAAACTTACAAAATAAATAAACAAATAACTGCCTCCACTTCCCTCAAGAGCAGCTTCCAAAGCATCCAAGAGTCTTAGAAATTTTAGCCCTTGAAAACTAAGTTAGCAGCAAAAATCCTACCTTATGACACCTTTAACAACACTAGAAATATCACAACTCTAGAAAAATTATAATACTGCCCATCTTTGGGGTACAGGCAGTCAATAATTTATCATTAGCAAAACATTTTGTAAGGGGATGTATGCTGACACCCGGCTAGCGGCGTTTCTGCAGTGTGTTATTCCTATAAACCTGCACTAGGGCTCATAAGCACAGTTTTACACAGTAAGCTCGTAACACTGATAGCAAAGATGTCAGGGATGCCTTCAGCCTTTTGAGATTATAGCAATTCTCAGGCACAAACGAGTCCCAGTTTTGTCAGTATCTTAACAGTGGCATCATTTTTACATGGTTGAAACTGAAATGTTATCACCCTAATACCTAAAATATTGTTGTATTCACAACAGTTAATACCTTACTCTTCACATCTAGCCAGATGGGCTATCTCCTTGGTTTACACAGAACAGTTATCCCTTTCTAAAGAATTAAAAATTAAAGAAACAAGAAAGTCCTACAAGAACAGCCAGACTTAAGGAGTGGCCACTTCTGGCTCAATACACAGAGTAGTTGTTGGAGGGTAAGGGAAACAAACAGAAAAATCTCCAGAAAATCTGCTCCCAGACTTTTAACCAGTAAAAATGTGCTCCTGCCAAACTGACGCTCTAGAATGTGCTCAGTGCTCCCTCCCTGCACCAGATGTTTTCTGTTCTGATCAGAATTTCTCACATGAACCCCATTCTGTGCAGAAGTTCAACGGCCACCATGAAGCGCACCACCAAGGACTTTCAAAAGGAGGACCAGATGTGGATTTAGAATATAATTCTTTCTAATAACAGCATTCAAGAAAGATACTATTGAGGGAGGCTTAGCACCACAGAGTTTAACCAACACAGTGATAAACAAAGAAAATTAAGCTGGCTGTCAGCTTTGCAGCTCCTCTCCCTGACAAACTAGGGATTAACAAGTACAACCAGGAGGGCACGTCACAGTACTGTGCTGTGTATAACCAATACTCCCTCACAGGGAATAGCTCCTACAAAATAATTCAGAGGAAAGCCCTTTACAAGAACACTACTATTTCTCTTCGTGCACGTACAGTAAAACAAAAGTGCTCATGTGCAGGAGGGACATCTGCCATGACTAGTTCCAAAGGTGAGTTGAGCATGGTCTATGCTGAGTTGCACTGACGGCTGTATTTCATGTTCTTTTCACTGACAGCCCGAGATCAACATTTAATCAGTGTTACACAAACTGTGTTTCTATGAGTTTTTAATCTGGGAGAGCCACATAGCCCAATTTGGGAAAGACATAAAGGAGATCTCTTGATTCATACAAACATCCAGGTTTGAAGGGATCACAGGAGGCTTCTAGTCCAGCCTCTTGGTCAAAGCATGGTCAGTTCCAGATTCAGATCAAGTTGTTCAGGGCTTTGTATGGCCAGGTCAAAAAACCTCCAAGGACAAAGATTTCATAGCCTCTCTTGGCAGCGTGTATCAATACTTCATTAACCTCCCAGTGACAATTGTTTTTCCTTACATTCAGGTCAGAATCTCTCTGTTCCCATTCCCACCCGGGCCTCTCTGCCCACTGCCCATCTGTCAGGAGCCTGCTGCTCCTTCCATCAGTGGAGACAGTGGCTGTTGGGCCCCTGCAGCTTTCCATCCCTGAGCTGAGCAAGCCTCACTCCTGTAACATTTCCTTGCACATCAGCTCCAGCCCTGCCCATTGTGGGGCCCCGACTAGACTCGCATCTGGTAGCTCACAGCTGCGTCACCCTGCTGTCACCCACTCCAGGCCATGCTTCTGCTGGTGCAGCCCCAGGGACGCCAGCCTTCATGGCTGCCAGGGCATCTTGCTGGCTCATGTTTAACCTGCTGCCCACCAGTGCCCCCAGGTCCTTTTCAGAAGAGCAATACACATCCAGCTAGTTCCCAGCCTGTACTCTTGCAGGATTTGGTACTTGTCGTTGCCAAATCTCACAAGCTGCCTGTCAGCCCATACCTCCCATCCATCTAGGGTCCTCTGAATGGCAGCCCTTCCCTCAAGTGCACCAACTGGTCCACCAGTTTCTTATCCACAAACTTGATGATGGTGCACTCCCATCTCCTCCTCCAGATCCTTGCCAAAGCTGTCAGGCAGCACAGATACACATGGTTCCCTGCGGAACTCTGTCTCCAGGTAGATCATGAGCCATTAACAACTGCTCTTTGAGCTTGATGATCCAAGCAGTTTCTCACCCACCCAGCAGCCCACCTGTCAAGACGTAACAACTCAAAGTGGATACAAGGGTGCTGGGGGAGACTCTGTTGAAAGTCTTAAGGTGAGGTGAGAGACATGCACAGCTTCCCCTTATTCATGTATCCAGTAATTTCATCACAGAAAAAGGCTGGCTGAGCACAATTCACTGTTGTTCAATCCATGTTGGCTGTTCACCATCACTTTCTTCTTTCTTGTGCCTGTAAATGAGAGGACTCATTCCATAACATTCTCACAGACCAAAGTGAGGTTGACCATCTTGTAGTGCTCTGGATCATTACTCTTGCCCTTTCTGAAGACGATCTCTTGCCCTCTCTGAAGATGAATGCAGTATTTGTCTTTCTCCAGCAATCACAGTCCATCTCTGATCTCAAAAACCTTTCAAAGATGATGGAGAGCAGCCTTGTTATGACATTGGCCAGCCTCCTCACCACTCTCGATGTAGCTAGTCTTTGGGTCAAGATTTCTCAAGAGATCCTTGACTTGATCCTCACCTGTTGCTAGTCATTCTCCCCCCTTGAACCCTCTCTCTAAACACATGGGCCCAGGAGACAGTGTCAGAGAAGACTGAAGCAAAAAATTTGAGTGCCTCAGCCTCACCTGTGTTGGCTGTTACTAATTTACCCAGCCCACTCAGCACAGGTACACATTTTCCTTGTTTGTCCGTATACTCCTAAAGCAATAGAAAGGGGTGGGGGGGGGTGGGCTTGATGTCCCTTGCTCCTTCTCCCTCAGTTTTGGGTGTGCTTTGACTTTCCTGAAACTGCCCCTACGTGTTTGGGCAAAGTTTCTATATTCCTCCTTTGTAGCCTGTCCCTACCTTCACCTACTGTATGCCTTCTTTGTACTCCATCTCATTCACAAGTTCAGCCAGGTCAGTCTCCTGTTACGTCTATTCATTTTCCAGGACATACCATTCTTGTGCTTGGAGGATGCTGTTCTTAAAAACTTGCCAGCTTTGCTCAGCAGATTCACTCTTCAGAGTTGCCTTCCACTGAATCCCACCCATCAGTTCCCTGAACAAGCCGAAAGTCTGTTCTCTTGAAGTCCAGGGTCTGTACTTTGCCACTCACCTTTCCCACCTCCATCAGGATCTCAAATGCCACTATCTCATTCCCGAACAGATCTTCAACAAAATCATAATTTTTACTGAGCAACCCATTGGTAAGAGCCCCCCTCTAAGAGAGCCAGGATTAATTGCTGGGCCTGCTCAGCACCCTCAGTCAAAGTTCTGGAAGTTCTGCAAAGACTGTACATTCACCTGAACCAGGGAAACAGAGCACAAGTGGTTAGGAGAAACTGCTGTATGTAACTACGAAGTATTCCCTCACACTGAGTAACATCCTGAGGAGCATCCAGGAATTAGCATGTTCTGCCAAAACTATACATGTTTTCAATTAAAACACAGAACATTGCACTCTAAGATACAGCAAAGATAAGAAACAAGAGGACAACGTCCATCACAGAATCTGCATCCATACATATCAGGAAGTAATTTTCTGATGAAATATAAATAGCACTATATAATTTACGTAACAACTACATTAGCCAGCTGTCACTAATAACACCTATTGACATGGCACTATAAGCTGCATTTTCCTTTCCTTTAATTAAATGCCAAGGCTGACCTTTACACCATCATGTAAGTGATTGAATGTGAAAAATCACTTAGCAGCTAAAAGGGTATTTTCTCCTAGACAGCTGCTCACCTTGGGATACTTGTCAGGTAGGTCAGGACATTCTGGAACTCCTTCTCGGGGATCTCGCTGAAAGCCGGATACTCTGGAAAGGTGATGACAGGGCACCCATCTCCCCCTCTTCCACCTGCAAAAGAAACAAGCAGCAGGCACGCTTACATGCAAGTCCCTTTACCCAGCTTGCAACTTCCCAGTAAGGAGACTACTGTCACCTTGGGATACTTGTCAGGTAGGTCAGGACATTCTGGAACTCCTTCTCGGGGATCTCGCTGAAAGCCGGATACTCTGGAAAGGTGATGACAGGGCACCCATCTCCCCCTCTTCCACCTGCAAAAGAAACAAGCAGCAGGCACGCTTACATGCAAGTCCCTTTACCCAGCTTGCAACTTCCCAGTAAGGAGACTGCTGTGTTTTTTTGGTTTTTTTTTTTTGTGCAGTGCTCCTCAGTGTAGACACTGTTTATTCTGGACAGTCTAGCCTTTTCTTCAGAGCTTAGAAAGCTTTATAGGAAGGAATTTGTTACACCACATTAGATTTTTTCCATACAAATGACTTTGCTCATGTGAACACAGTTTTGACGCCAGATGGCAGTGCATCTTTCTTTTGATAAATATCAACTATATGTTAATATAACCAGTTTGGAGAAAGACATGAACTGATTTAGGAAAAAAAAAAGTTAATACAGAATTAAGCAGGCGAACCTCCATCTTGAACTGAACACAACCTTCTTACCAGTTTGAACTCATTCCTGCCCCCTCCACAGCCCCATTTCCACTTCAGCTAGCTGCTCTGCTTCCAGCACAGTCTAAAAGCACTGGCAGAATATTAAAAGAACCAGGGAAGGCATTTCAAATGAGATATCCTGTTCAACTTCGCAGACTACCTACAGAAGGTAAGGTAGAGCCAAACACCTACGCTGCAATATGGCTGCTGATGAGCTAGATACCATCTGGATCATTTCTGGTATTTGCACCACTGGGCAGAACTCACAAATGCGATGCTTTTTAACGTGCTCCACATTTTTATCTATAAAATGTATTTTTTTAAGGCAATGTTAATGTTTTATGTCTTCTACAAGTGTATTTTCATAAACATAGGCTGGACAAAGGATTTGTTGAGCCCTAGCAACTGCATGAAGTTAACAGTTGGGGGTGGCAGGGACACATTGCTGGAAAGCTCTCTTTGCTTCACAGTTCAAAAAAGAGAAGAAAACCAGCCACAAATTACCGTGGCAAAATAATAAGTACTTTTTTCCAGCCCTGAAATCTGACAACTGCGCAGTAATCAGCTATAAACTGTATTAACAACACTGTCTGATCATGACAGCAACAGTGATTTGTGAAAATTACAGTGTGCTATTACCCAGTTTAAGTGCCTTTGCATCTAACCTCACCAGAAAAACCATAGAAATATTTGAGCTCAGATTCATTGGATAAAAGAAACCACCATTTCCCTCCAAAACCGCATGTAATTAGAAGAGCTCAAAGAGTATCCTTATGTTAATTTGTGGTGAATCTGACTTCAGTCTACTCGCTCACAGGCAATATGGTGCTACAACTGTGTAGCCCTTGAAATCCAGCCACATCAGAAAATTATGCATTCTGGATACATTTAAACAACAACAACAAAATACAACTATTATACAAATATCACAAGTTTGAAAACATAACCTTTATGACACCCAAACACTACAACGTTGAGTCAATGGAGTTAATTTTAGCTATATAAATGTTCACAACAGAAGCGTAAGTTAAGACTAATTTTGATTCTATTATTTTTTTGTTCTACCCAGGCTCTAAGGACCAAAGCATTTTCCTCTCTCATTAAAAAAGTTTTCAAGCATGATAATGATGATTTCTGTTGCTCACGAGGTGTTCTACTCTCTCTAGAATATCTATTTTTAGATACAATTATACATTATTCGCAGTATCCCGCTCAGTCACTTGCTTTGTTCTACTTAACTTCTACAAATAGGACATATGAAACAAAAGAAGAACAATACACTTGCAGGACACATCCTAAAAGCAGAAGCCTGGACTATGATCTTCAGGAAGTTCCCAGACCACCACCGACTGTCGACAGTAAATGGAGCCATCCTGCCTTGACATTGCCTATTAATTTTCAGTTTCTAGTACACTCATCCCTGGTTATCTCTGGTGGAGACAACTCTATCCTGCCACATGCTGTTAGAAGATTGTTTTTTTACTGATTGTCTTTTTCTCCAGTATTTTCCTGCCAGTACACTTCAGCGCACATGTACCTTCAAATACATATAGCTCAAGTGCTTCTCCTTAATAGGACCTCACTGCTGAAAAGAGTTTAGGGAAGAGTGACCTGAAGTGCTATATGAAATAAATTCTCTAAAATTTCAGCTTTCACATTGCTGGCCTATAGAAGTTGCTTTCCATATCACAGTTTTAAATATGTGGCCATCAATGCGAGACAGGCCGCTCAGCAAAGCGGTTGCTACTTTCAAATGAGTGTTTGTCACTGCAAGCTACAAAGAGGGCATGGAAAATACAATAAAGTAGAAATCCTACATTTGAATTGCGTTTGCATTAAGTTGTAGTAAAATTAGTAGGCGAGTTCAGTTTTTAAAGTGCCCTTTATTTCACAATGAACCTGATGCAGCAAGGAACAATTTTTTTCCTTTATCCAGAATCACTTTTTCTTGCTTCATCTCTGCAAAAGCATCATTACACAGTTTATTCCTAAATTAGCTGTGTAAAATGTGATTTTCTTTCCTTCTCCCAGAAATAAATCAAACCACAGACTTTACCAGGAGGAGATAAAACAGAAACAAGAGTTTGGGAAGCTAGGTTGGGATTTGTTGTTGTTGGTTTTAGTGAAAAGGAAAGCATGTGAGAGACAAAATGAACAATTTTACTTCTCTCATCCTTCTTGAAACACAGGTTTGAGGCAAAAATTTAAAACATCTTATTAAGACTAATTCACATAACCTTCCAGTATCTCAGAATTATATACATCCAATTACAAAAATTGTAAGCTTAGATGAACTCTACAAATGCTACAACTCACAAAAATAATTCAGTCTGTACAGAATAATTTTTTAAATGAGCAACTAAAATTTTAATCACCATCCAAAAAAAATAGTGATGTAATATTTTAATAAATTCAGGTCTATTGGTAGAGTGACTACATCTAATTATCGCAGTCATAACCATTCAAAATCCATCTCTCTCTCCTTTCCCTCTAGCTCACAGTCCTGAAATTTCAGCCACAGCTGTGGAACAGCCTAAAGTTTGCTGGGCAATTTCTGTCCACAATGGCACACACAAGCCTACTCCTCTTTCTAGGCTTAAGCAGGGATGCACTGACTTACACAACTGGAATTTTATAGTTTTATGTGTTCCTGGGACAACCAAGTTTCTATTTGAGAGCATTTCCTTAGTCCAGTCTTAGTCTTTTTTTTTTAAACTCTGAATTTCTGAAAGAATATTAAAACCATTTATTTTCATTTAAAAATATAAACACTGTTGCAACTATGCAAAGGCCAGGTTGGACAGGGCTCTGAGCAACGTGATCTAGTGAAAGATGTCCTGCTCACTGCAGGGCAGTTGGACTAAATGATCTTTAAAGGTCCCTTCCAATCCAAGCCATTCTGTGATTCTATGAAAATGTTGAAAAACACCCAGTATTATTAATTTTTAAATATTAAACAAGTAGCACTTGAGTGCCAGCTTTAGTTTTTGTTTAATACAAAGAACAGAAGGGAACGCAGCAGTCCTTAAACACGTGCAATCAGTCCACACATATTTCACCTGAAATCATGGAATGCTTTGGGTTGAAAGGGACCTTAAAAGGTCATCTAGCACAATCCCCCTGCATTTGGCAGGGACATCACCTACTAGACCAGGTTGCTCAGAGCCACACACAAACCGGCCTTGAATGTTTCCACAGATGGGGCCTCCACCACCTCTCTGGGCAACCTGTGCCAGTGTTTCACCACCCTCACTGTAAAAAATTTCTTCCTTATATCCAGTCTAAATCTACCCTCCCTTAGTTTAAAGCCATTACTCCTTGTCCTATCACAACAGGACCTGCTGAAAAGATTTTCCCTGTCTTTCCTATAGGCCCCCTTCAGGTACTCGAAGGCTCCAATAAGGTCTCCCTGCAGCCTTCTCTTCTCCAGGCTGAACAGCCTCCTGACTGGAGGATGAAATGATTCCCAAGAATTACTTGCCACTTATCTCATGACATGCAGCTGTAAGGAATCAAAGAATAGTAGGGGTTGGAAGCGACCTCTGTGGGTCATCTAGTCCAACCCTCCTGCCGAAGCAGGGTCACCTACAGCAGGCTGCACAGGACCTTGTCCAGGCGGGTCTTGAATATCTCCAGAGAAGGACACTCCACACCTGTTCCAGGACTCCATCACCCTCAGAGGGAAGAAGTTCTTCCTCATGTTCACACGGAACTTCCTGTGCTTCAGTTTGTGCCCATTGCCCCTTGTCCTGTCGCTGGGCACTACTGAAAAGTGCTTGGCCCTGTCCTCCTGACACCCACCCTTCAGATATTTATAGGCATTTATTAGGTCCCCTCGCAGCCTTCTCTTCTTCAGGCTGAACAAGCCCAGCTCCCTCAGCCTCTCCTCGTAGGAGAGATGTTCCAGTCTCCTCACCATCCTTGTAGCCATTCTCCTTATTAGAGGATTATTACTTTTCAGTGTAAAAATGGAAAGATTATAGAAGTAAAGAGCACTGAATTGTATATCAGCAATCAAAAAAAAAAAACCAACCTCAACACCTCTTTAAATTAAGTAGATCTGCTTCCACCCTATCTCCATGATCCTTCATTAAAGCAAAATTTTGTTATTAACTCATTTATAACTGACTTTGGCAACCTATTCAACTGAAACTTCTTTAATAGATTTAGTATCAAAGAAAACACAAATTACCTCTCTAAATATGGAAATTTTTTTCAGTGGTTAAATCTCTACAATTCTAGCAAATCTCCAGTTTGGTGGAACTCTTCTAAATACATCTATGAGCCTTATTCTAAGGACAGTTTTTACAACAGTGACAGCATTGCATTTTGGAGAAACACATTTTAAAAACATACTGAATTGGATTAGCTCCACAGGCTAGGTAGCAAAATGACTTACCTGTGCTTAGGAAATAGCACTTCATGTTCCTAACTTCTGTACACAATTATTTAAACAATGGCACCAACTGTTAAAATTATGTGGACCCAGAGCATCGTGATCTTGTGCATGAAAGGAGTGGAAAAATGATTCTTGGAAAATTAGCTGTGCTACTGTGAGATAGGACTGGTAAAGTTTATACCATAAGCCTAGATAATTTAACATTTATTCTTTATACTCTGTTACATCTAACTTCTCCCATCACGGCTGCAATCTCTTTTGGATTTGTTTTCACTTTTTCATTAAGCAGGTAGGGCGATAGAGAAGTGCCAAGCCAAGGAAACTGCAACACTGCTTCACATAAAAACTACTCCAGAGTCTCAGTGATGACCTGGTATCTAAACCCAATTTCAAATGAGAAATAATCAATATTCTTTTCCGTTTAAAATAGAATTGACAGGGAAAATTACAAAAGCTACGAGTTGTGCAGCTGCTAAAAAAACACACACAAGTGCGCATTCACACACACCCCCCCCCCCCAAGAAAACTGTAATTCCTCACAACCCTGTGAAAGACACGCTAGGTTTTTCATACAGCCAGCAAATTCAGAAGCAGCAAAGGAGATTGCTCAGATTTCCAGGAAAAAAAGAGCATGAGATGATTTTGTAATGTTTTCCTAGTTATTCTGCTCCTGTTTGCAGAAGAAAAGTATTCTCAAAAGCACTCTGCCCAACCCCACAAAAAGGAAGCAAGGTGGTTGGACATAAGCAGGTGATGACAGAGCAAAGAGGTTGGTCTTCTAGCCTGAATCTTATGACCTCTCTGTTGATCAATATGCACACACAAGATTCAAGAGCATCATCACTGTTAAACGGCCTGGATCGACAAGTCTTGTTCAAGAGACCTAGTTTAAGTAAAAGGAATCTTGTTTGCAGTCACGTCAAATGTGAGGTCCTCATGTGAATAAGAGAAGGGCTTACTACAGATTCTACTTTACCTTTTGCAGTGGTTCAGCTATTATGTTTGTGTTTTTCTGATAAAGAATTTCTCCATTCTACTTGCATAATATACTTAACTGGAGTCAGAGTATTTGAAATTACACATAGACTTCAGTGAGGTAGTGGATAAAAGCTTCATTGCATATCCTTTGCCAAGAAAAACAGAATCAAGGGGCATTTATTAAAATATTCTCTCCTTCAAAGGAGAGAGAAGTTTTACAAGTAAAACTCTCTCTTCATTACAAGCAAAACTTCCACAAGCTGCATTTTGCCCAGGCTGATCAGCAGCAAGTATACTGGCTTATAAATCAGACTGCAAGAACTAAATTTGTACCTGAATGTATTTGAACTGGAGATCTCTTAGCCAAGGATTCATTTTTTTTCCTTTCTCTTTACTACTTTTTTTTTTTTTTAATCTCCACAGACAATGGTGTAGCACTGTGAATATAAACCAGCAGTTAAACCTACACCTGTGCAGGACAGAAACTGTGAAGTCATACCTCTGCTACTGTCAACACACAACATACACTTGGAACATATTCTACAGGCAACAAAAATCAAGTTCATGTTTTTAAATAACTGATGCACTGTATGTGGTACAGGATCCCTTCAGAAGTTCTCAAACACAATTTTACAAACAGACTCAGCACCTGTGGATACTTCAAAGGGAACAGTTTAACCAGTGAGGTATTTTCAGGTCATGTCCACAGAGGAGAGCAAGAGCACAGAGAAGGAAATAGTTACAGAGAGCGAGGAGAAGGTTATTATTTAGAATGATAATTTAAAGGGCCAAAGATATAAGCATTTTGAAAGCTAATACCAATGCCAACTTTTTCAACTGCAGGAAAAAAACTAAGAATTGATAAGCAAAAATGCAAGTGGCATGGACTTGTATTTATATTTCCTTTAATGGAAATCTTTTGAAGTTGCTCAATGCATAAAGAGGCATTCAAAGCAAAGTGAGCCGAAATAATTGGTTCAGTACTTGTGGTGGCCAAGAGTCTCATTTGCACATCACATAGGTTGTACAATTTAAGACGCATATAAAGATACACACCTGTCTGTATGCTCTTGTTCATCTACATTTGTTTTAACATACCTGCGTAAAGCAATGGTAAATATTTGCAAAGTTAGGTATGAAAGTCACACAGCAACCTTCCAATCAAGGAAAAAGAGAAAAGAAAATACTAATGAACGTGTATGAAAATACTTTTGAAATGTGAATGAAGGACTGTAAGGAATATATTTTCCAGAGACTTTTAAATGGACCTTCCAATGTCCTTCGTGAGGATTAAAAAAAAAAAAAACGTAGAATACCCTTTGCAATGCAGAAGAAAAAGTGACTGCACAAATACTAACTAAAGGAAGAAAAAGACAGGTGAAACAGTGAACCATGCAGAGAAGACGTTTAAGACAGCCTAGCAACAACAAAAAAGAATAACAACAATTCTTACAAAGATAAGGACCTTGTTCCACAGAAAAAAAAAAATCTCCAAGGGAAAAAGTAAACAGCTGGGCCTGAGGTAAAATATAAACTTCAGGGCTTATAAAATTGTTATGTGAATGATTCATTACAAACCTCATCCACAGCTTGTCCCTCCATTAGAATTAAACTGAACATATGACTGCATACTTGCTGCTGAGCAAGAGCTAGAGCCATCAGCATCCGTGCGAGTAGCTAGCATCTTCACCTCATTACACTTCGCTATATATACTGAAAACAGAAGCATTAATCTAAGTTTTTGCTTTATTTTGTTTCATTTCAAGCCTAAATTGGATGTCGCTGTAGCATTTTGATTATAAACTAGCAGAATGAGGAGCACAAATTACTTCATACCTGCAGAGGAAAAGAGAGCAAGAGAAAGAAGTGACCCTGATTTAGACCAAAGCACAGAAAGTAGCTCGGGAAGGGCTACAGCCTTTAGCCACAGAAGCAGACCAGGTCTCATTCACTATTCAAACAAGCGTCCCACAAGACCTAGATACATCCTATTAGAGAAACTGAAGCGATTCTCAAGTATATGTCACGCTGCTGCTAAAACGCCAGAAAATAAAAACTGAAATGCATCCAAGACACATTACGCAATTCACCATACCTGCAAAGATGCTATCTACCAAAAGTATTTGTAATCTATGGACTTCATTTTAATGAGATTTATGCCATGTTCTAAGATTCTATTCCCAAGGCAACTTAGTAATAAGCAAAAAAGCCCCCTTCACGCACACTGTGAATGTCTTACGTGGCATTCCAGCAATGCCACTCATAAGCACAACTGCAAGAACAAACAAATTGTATATAAATCGAGTATCAGAATATTAGCTCTGTTCCTTTGTTCACAGAACCCATAACACCACTGTTTGGTACAGCACAGAAAATTAACCGTCTGTGTCCTGCAGGAAAATATTAGGATAAAAGAACTGAAGTCCTAAATAAAATGAAAATGCCTAACAGTCAAATTGCCCAAGAATGATAAAAAAGAGCAGAGAGCACAGACACAGTCCACAGTACTGCAGCTGTTCTGCTATTTCAGGCAAACAAAACAGACTTCTAATAGACAGAAGGGTGAATAAATAGAAGAAAATAGAGCAAGGAACGGCTGCTATTACTAAGCTTCACTGCACAGTGGATGTAATGAGTGCTGAAGACGCTTATGGCTGTGCAAACTCAACAATTTTAAGAAGTGAACAATCTCCACTTGGACGCAATTAGATTTTATTAGTCTACTGTAGTCACCAGTTTTCCCCTTACTTCAGAGGGACAAAAAAACCATAAACCCTACTTGCTGTTTCCGAGATAGGCCAATTCTTGCATAACACTATTATGAGCTTTTTTTTCTCCTAGATAAGAAGAAAGAGCCTGGGAAGTCAAAAAAAATAAACTGCCAGGAAAGAACTGTAGCTTAAACACCATCACCCCAAATGGAACATGAACTTCAACTTCATCAACAAAATCATCTTATTTTCAAGTGCTGCCACCACCCCACATAAAACACAGTCACAACCACAGACCCACACTTAGTTTAGCCTGTGTGGCAGGAATAAATAATAATTAATGGTTAACCGTAAGTACCACATTCAATGAACTCCTGCCAAGCAAAGCAGTACATTGCTTCCTTCCCACATGTCTCAATCAGTTGTAGGGAGGGATTCAAAGGCAGAGGGAACAGTCATCAAGACCAGCTTCAGCCTAGAGCAGTAAACCTCCTTCATGCTGAAGGAGGCAGGGCAGCTCTGCAAAGCCACTGATGCTCTCCCACTCTGTGCACTGGAGGGAGGGCAGGTCACTAACTCCAGCAAAGGCACTGTCTCCCTTTACCCGTTAGCTGCCAGCCATGGTTCCAGCATCGAAACAGACCAAGCCCAGCAACCAACACCTGCACAGCACAAACGTAGGCCCCCATCACCTACCTGGCACAAGTTATCCAGGGGCATCAAAGACCTCTGTGCTGCGTGAACATGGCTGTGCTGCTTTTAGAGACAGCTGTACGCCTAAAAGCAGGTTGCTTTGCAAAAGACAGGTGGTGATACCAAGCTGAAAACCCCATCCAGAACTTGGTGCTACACATGCCTGACCCCCTGCACTGAGGCTGTGGGGGAACACAGTACTGTGGTGCTCGCTCAGACACTGCTTTGGTCAAGTCCAAGGTGTCAGCTTGGGCTTCGGTATTGAACCCGACAGCAGAGCCAGCAGCAGCACAGCCGGTGGGCCAAGGACTGCGAGACCACAGTAACCACCAGGGCATCCACACTGCACTCCCCAGCTCTGGGCAAGGGAGGACTCAGCTCAAAGAGCTCTAAGTCAGTGTTCGAGCCCTGTGTCAGCTCCAAGCATTGGACAGCTCAGGCTAAGTGTCTGCAGCTCCCTTAGCACTGACTACAGGAGACTGTATGTTCCTGTACTGGGCTCATCAGCACTTCTTTACTAATATTCCCCTGTTTATTCTTTTATCCTACCCTCAATTCCATCCCATTATCCTGGAAACTGGAAAATGAACTATAATATAAAATTCCTAGTATACTTCTTTTTTAAAAAAAAACCAACAAAATAAACCACCTTGTTTTCATAAATGCTTAAATAACACGTCTCGGTAGTCTATACTTTGAGTTGCTCATAAAATATTAATTTCTTCTATACGAGATCTCAAGAACTATGAAAGCACAACAGGCCCAACCACACACCTGAGCAATGTCTGTAGAGGAGAACACCAGAGTCTTACCTGACAGGTAAGCAAACTGTTTCTTTAACTGGTCCTGAATATCTGCAGCATAGAGGGGAATGATATCCTGATGCATGATTTCATCTGCGGAGGAAAAAAAAAATTTGCATTGCAAAGTTATTTTATGTAAAACTTCATAGCAGACATCAAAAAAAAAACAAAAACCATGCCCAGAACACAAACACACAGGAAGCTATCCAAGTTTTGAAAAATATGTGAAAATATTTGGAGTCTTTCAAGCGTCTGCCAAGGGCAAACTTTTCTTTGAACAGCGTACTGATAAAAGAGCAAAGTAATGTGGATTTCCTGACACTCAGAAGCAGTATGGGATGTCACTGAGCCGAATACTGTAGAGCTAATATTTCTCAGGAATTATGTTAAACAGTGGGGTTTTTTTATGTATCAAATTCAATTTTTATTAAAACCTTCTCAACTCGCACACAAAAAGAGAAACTTATGCTCCTTCTAACCTGCTTGCTAATGTTCAAATACCCCAGGGCAACAGCATTCAATAAAGTGGGTAGAACAGGCTTGAAAGGACATCCTCACATTGAGCACACATTTGTACCTCAGTCGTGAAAAGCATTGCTTAATCTTTTATCTCAGCCCTTCCACTTTAGCTTAATGATCAACATACTGCTTTCTCATGTCTTTGTTTTCTGCCACAGTGTTTGAGCAGAGGCGTCTCCCATGTATTTCCAGAGGTCAAGCAGAAACCTAAGTTTCACTGGCCATGACAAGTTGCCTCATTCATTAAACTAATCTCTCTATTTTTGTTTCCTTGTAAAAAAAAAAAAGTGTTAGCCTTTTGCAATTTCTAAAAATTAATTATTCTACATTTTTAGCCTCATTGAAACCATTATTTGGTTTTGAACATTTCTTTTAATCTGGCATTGTATAAAGAAGTTTTGGGTTTCATGTACATTGAAATGCCATTAAGATAGACTCAAATCTGACACTCAGCACTGTGAACATGCACAAGAAAAGTAAATAAAAACATAAAAGTGAAGTAAGGATGAGTGTCACCTGCCTTAAAGCATAAGCTGATCAAACAGAAGTAGAGCTCTGGCCCTCAAGGAAAAGACTTGCTATTACTGAGATCTTTCAAATGCTAGATCTTGAGGGGACAGCCGCTCACTTTTATAAGCAATTCTCACGCGTGTAAAATTCTGAGAACTGCAGTTATTTGAGAATAGCAAAAAACCCCACTTTCAGTTACTTCTTCCAGAAATGCAATGACTTATGCTGGGAAACAGGACTTCTCTGTTCTTTTTCAGCTGGTCTGGCAGAGGAAGACCCATGACCACTTTCAAGGTCACACACTGATCAGAGCTATTTTCCTGCATCCGGTGAACTGCTGCTTGATCAGAAGACCTCTGCATACCATGCTGTCAAATCCTTCAGGGGGTATGTTTAACTGTTAAGTCATATCTCACCCAGACCTTCAGTTATGTCATCATCTTAATGTTTTTAACAGAAAACTGAACACAGATCTTTCAAAAGTCCAATCTCAGATGGCCAAGTCATTTCCAGAGGAGGAGACCCCACCCAAAAGAAAAAGGAGTTCAGATTTTATTTTTGCTGTCAGTGCTTTTTAATGTGAGAAGCCCTCCTGCAGCAGTGTTTAAGACACCTCTGATTCTGCAAACCGGTAGCTGCTGGTGGACCCATTTATCTGAATATAACCTATTACAGGATCAACGCCTAACTTTTTGGTGGGAGATGTGAAAAGGGAAAAGAATGTAATCACTTTGTAATACACCGTCTTGCCTACAGTCACAAGCAGAAATAAATTATCACTATTGAAGCATAAGCATGTATTAAAATACACGTTTTGCATATGTAAGTAAATACGTGACACATACCATTCAAGCAGGCAAGGTGTTTGTAAGTCAGGGAAACTCCTTACTTTACATTTCCCAGATACATAATGATCATTATTTCTTCATGTACCCATGTGATCAATCCCATTGCGGTTCCTGACTTGTGCCAGGTAAAGACACAACTCTAGACTTGATTGCCCCAGTTTTCTCTCTGATAGGAACAGCAGCTTTTGCAATCAGCACAGCGCAGCCCACAACCTTGTGGTCAAATACTGTTTCACTGAAAAGACTGCATTTTCCTCCCCCTGGTTTTAAACCCCGTTTTAACTCATATTTAAGATCCAGCGTGTTTGCAGCTGCAGGAGCAGCACACTGTGCCCGTTCATAGATGGAAAACCTCCAGAAGACCTTCCTTCTGCGCTCTCCTCCATCAAGGCCTGTGCCCCCTTCTCATCTTGCTGATCTGGTTTCGTGACACTTTTCAGGAAGCAGAATACGTGTTAAGATCAGAGCTGATTTTCAATAATTTGAAACAACTGAGAAAAACAGTAGTACAAAACAAAGTGAGAAAATGCAGCTCTGGGAAGCGCTGAAGAGTTTGCACCCAGCCACTTCACAGGACACACCTGAACCCGGTCTCAGCACTCACAGACTCAGCCAGAAATTGCTCTCCAATACCAAGTCTCCTTCCAGAAAAGATGCAATTGTAAACATAATTGCTCTGCATCATTTCCTTTATACTGAGCATCCCTCTAGAAAAGGGAGTTCACCACAGTTTGTCTGGGATTGAACCTGATTTCACTAAGTTTGTACTTCTTTACTTGAATATGCTGTTTACTTAACAAGGCAAGGTAAGGAAAGGCACACATGCGAAAGACTGCAAAGGCACACACTCCTTCCACTCATGGTCTTTGGGGAAAATAATTTCTTGGAAATATTCTTTAAATAGAGAACCTGCCACCTGCTACATTCTTTAGGGACAATTTCCATTTTAGTAAAGCTAATTAAGTGCACATTGAAATACAGAATTACTAAGAATCTGTTCACTGTATTCTAACAAATTTTTACAGGCTCGAACTCTACTTCCACTTACACAGATTAAGATTTACACAGCCTGTGACTTTCCCTGTTCTACCCCGACTACTTTACATAATATTTTCAAAACAAGGACCTAAGAGTTTGTCTGTTTTACTGTAATTAAAATTCACAATTAAAAAAAAGAGATGCTCATACCAAAACATGCTAGAATACCCAGACTTTCCTGAAGAGCTTATTTAAAGAGTTTTCCAGAGTAGTGTGCTTAAAATAAAGCCTCTGGGTACTGCAATACATCTGGTATTGTGGGTGCCAATAATAAAACTAGGTTCTGTAAAGTTATCTCTGTCTTTTTTAATCCTTATTCTTCAAAGCCTAACACACATAATAGCTGGGAATGCACGAAGATCCTTTTTTAAGCCAACAACTGGGGGTTCCTTAAAAACCACGTTATCTAGTGTTTACATTATGAGTGTAAGAGAGGATGGAAATGTCATCTTGCTAACATAAAGTAACCAGTTAAAGATGTGGTTCTCAAAGAAAACCTTTCTCTTTAAAAATGTGAACGACAGTCATGCGGATATATCCTTTTCTAATTCAATTTTAAATCTTGCTTTGATAGGCCTGTCTCTGTGATGGAGGACGATGGCTTAGAGGGGCCTGACCCTGTCCCATCACAGACAGCTGACTGCATTTCAAGTGAAGCACGATGACAGATTTAAGAACAAGGGCACTAAGATAACTTGTGCTTGAATTACCTGGTGCCAGTAAGCCCTGGAGAAACCCAGATCTGAGAAAACGATCAGTGTCTCTCAAGTTAAGATCTTCACTTACTGGTAAAAGGCTCCTCTTTCTTTCCTGATCGAACCAAAAGTCATCATCATTTGGAGTTCGCCTGACACGCCGAAGCAAAACCATTTTCACAGAAGACAACGCTGGAGGGGAGTGTGAACAGACCGTACCCACGTTACATGGAAGTCAGTCTCCGGACACGACTCATGAGCCTCTAGTAATGAGATTAATCCAATTCCCACCAAGCCTGCTGGAATTATACCACCCTTTGAGTAGCTCTGTATGAAATCCTATGGCCATTACTTTATACCAACTTGAAATTCAACCTGTTTGTATACATACGGACACAATTATGCCTCTCAGCACAGATCCCAGCAGCAGACCACAAAGCGAACCACATATAATTTTCACTCCTCCTCTTTCTTGCCAAGTCAGCAAGATTTTCCCCAAAACACGTCTATGAAATTCATCCCTTAAATTGAAGAAACGATGTCTTTTTCTCAACCAGATTTGTTTTGCTTCTCCTTTGGAGCAGCCTTCCCAATCAGAGTTGAATACCTTCTAGGAAGGGGGTCTTAATTTGAAAAGTCTCTTCATTAATGCAGCCTCCCATCTGGTAATTATAAATACAAGATAATGACTTTCAGAGCAGTCCCTTCATCTCTCAGCCCCAGGGCAAACCTTTCATTTCCTCATTCTTCCCTCTTCATCTTCGCCCGCCGACCACCATCACTAACAGTCAGCTCCTTTGTGTAGTCCCTGAAGGAGGAAGGGCCAGAGCAGCAGAGCTGGTGAAGACAGCCCTCTTCCACGCTAAGCCACATGAAACTAATGAGCTAGTCAAGATGCCAAGAGAGCTCTCCAGCTTTAAAACTGAAGTTTAAAAATTGCTGCTGATCAGTGATGATGCCTGCAAGCTCTGCTGCTAGGTGTGCTCAGGCACAATAGCTGCAGTCCGAGCTCCTCGGGTCCACATGCTAATTGTAGCCACACTGGGCTGATGACAGCAGTTCATATAAATGCTCATGCATTAAGTATTAAAACCTCACCGGACTGCAATATCTTCAGGAAGAGTTAATTTCTATTTCATTTGACTACACTGCAACCAAAACAAGTGGCCAGGAAAAGCAAGGGATTAAACCTGTGGCGTTTTCATGCAGAAGCCAGCTCTCTGCTAAAGTGTAGTTAGGAAGGAAATTATCACCTGGGTAAAACAGTGCTCTTGCAACTTGTTCACTTCTGGTGAGCTAAAATATCCCAAGCAAGCAGGAAACGTGAATTCTGCACTTCCACCAGCATCCCAATTGCTAGCACAAACAGAAATAAAGCAACATAGCGCTCCAAACAGCTTTGTATGGCACTGAGTGTCAAAATAATATTTTAAATGATACAAGTAGGTAAGAATTTTACCTGTAAAAGCTTAACAGCCTACAG